TCACTGCGTGATGTTGAAACAGCAAAGCATCCCTTATGGGTCGGAATTAATAAACAACTCTTGTATCATGTGCAAAGCGACTATCACAGCAACTATCTGTCCTTCAACAAGTAATAATATCAGTAATGACATGTCCGTCTTCCTCTCTTCTTCCCCTGCGGCCTGAATGGGATAATCTGCAGAGCTGCCAGCAGAGGAGGGTGAGCAGACCACAATGTACACTTTAAACATGGCAGCTGAATATCTAATAATCTCCCAATCTGTTCTGTAAAATAAGAGACTGTTTCCTTAAACATTTATTTTCTTTTTAGGTAAATCCCTTTGGGAGCTGGTGATTGAACAATTTGAAGATCTGCTTGTGAGGATCCTTTTACTTGCTGCCTGCATATCGTTTGTAAGTATGACATCTTCAATAGTGCACGTGTCTCAAACTGAAATACACAACCCAGTTTCTAATAAAGTGGGCTGTATGCAGGGTTTATCAGGTGATACTAAATGGACAGATGTGTTAATATTAAAGTTGACTTGGCGATAATCTGGAAATGGTTTTTGCCACATATGCTTGTCAGATTATGAGCTATATCATAATGAGTGCTGTATGTTTGTCAAAATACAAACACAACAGGCTTTGTTTGAATTGCTATCACAGTGCAGTAATGATTAGTAATCTACATGTCTCAACATGACTTGTATCCTACTATCATGAAAGTAATCTCACTGTTATCATGTGTCTTAAATCTTATTCTCCAGTGATGTTTGACAGCTTTCWCTTTCTTGTAGCTATTTTCTACTTGGCTGTTTGCTCACTGTTTCAGAATGTCACTCATTAAGTCACAGCAAAAAAAAAAAAATCTCAGTTATGCTGCATGTGTGGTGAGGTTGTGCTTTTAACATCACCAAACATGCAGATGCAGATATTTATTTTAATTTGTGACAGTATTTACCAGAAACTCGTGTAGGTGCATTTCAGGCTTTGTTTAAACACTTTAAATAATTGTTTTGTGCAACGTAGATTACATTGAATCATTGACGAATAACGCAATTTGACTTAAATTGATTTTGTCCCAAGTAGGTTACTGCAGAACAAGACTGGGTCATTTGGCATCTCATTCGACCCACTCAGCTCTTGGCACAGTTTCTAAAAGAGGAGAGGAAAAAAGTGCAGGAGCAACTAACATTTGGCTCAACTGTGCAGCGTTGGCAACAGGAAAAATAAGACTAGGCTTTTTATTACACGTTTCTCTGTGTAATAAAATCAAAATCAAAGATTCCTGATCAGGAGTCAGGGTTTTGCTGACAGTTTTTTTTTTAATTTGTGGGTTGAACACTGAGGTTTCTCTTTTAGTAAATGCTCCACTTCCTTTTAAAAGCTGATTTGTTGTTCATCAAAAATTCAAAAATAGCTATTCTTTTGTAAAACAATGCCGGATGCAGAATCTGTTACTACATCAGCTACTGGCAAGGTAGTACAAAAAATTAATTTTAACATTAATCGTCATTGAGCAGTTATAATTGTTATAGATGGTCATTTTATTTGTTTTAAGTATCTGTTAACAGTGACTTAGTGTATTTACAATTTTCAAGCTCTTGCGCAATCATTTTTAAAGAATTAGTCCTGAGATAAATAGGGCTGTGTATTGGCAAGAATTTGGCGATACTTTACATATCATGACAGAGGGGTCACGATACGATATATCCCGATATATTGCGATACTATAAGCAAGGCGATATATCCCGATATATTGCGATACTATAAGCAAGGCGATATATTGCGATTTTTTTTGTCCAAAAATTCTATTAAATAAAATCCTCTTACAGGGGAAAAATGAAAAACCAAAATTCATTGTCTCAGAAAATTCTAATATTACATAGACATAGTTTTGATTCATTTAGCTGTGTTCTGCTTTGTATGTATTTTATTTTATTTGTTTCATATTTCTTATTTCATCCATGTTTTGAATTATTAGACTAAATTTGMCAATAAATAGTTTGAAAATATATTTTTTGCAGCTTTTAGTTTTTAATATTAATTTACAATATGGTCACCCAACACTTAACAATAGCCTCTACCTCAAGAGGTAGAGTATCCAAATGGCTGGCTCACTGCTGCCAACTAGTGGTCAAGAGGCTGAATTACAACATAAAAATGAACGGCTGGCAGGAAAGTTGACATTTTAAACCTTAATAAAAAAATCGATACAGGGCTTTAGAATATCGATACAGTATTGGGAAATGAAATATCGCGATATTTCAGTGTATCGATATTTTCTTACACCCCTAGAGATAAATGATAACAAATTTGTTTGTAATATTAAAAAGTGCAGTCAAAATGGCCTGTCTAGCCAATCAGTTTTTTATTGTTTAGATAAAAAATAATAATAATTAGACATTTATCGTGTTTTTTAATATTCAAGTTTTATTTATCTAATACCTACGATAGTCACATCAGCTTACTCCATAGATTTTTTAATACACTAAACAAAATGTGATTTATCTCACAATTGGTCCTGATTGAACATGTTGAATCACCTGGTAAGTGTTGATAGGGTCCAAAAGATACAGAATCGCTAAAGAGTTTTTCAAATTCAAACTTGATAAATGATCGACTTAAATGTCTTACCATCCTCTGAACTTTGTCAGACCAAGAGTGCTGTTTAAAACGGAGGTGGCGGTCTTCAGCTGTGTCAGTGTAAGATTTGGTTCTTATATTTGCTGTGTAGCTAATTTCTGATTGTGTCTTTGTTTCAGGTGCTGGCCTGGTTTGAAGAGGGTGAAGAAACGGTTACAGCCTTCGTGGAACCTTTTGTTATCTTGCTTATTCTCATAGCAAATGCCATCGTAGGAGTCTGGCAGGTAAACAGGCTTTACATTTTTAGAACAACTTTGAAATAAATATTTAAAATGTGACATTTGTGTTATGTTTGTGTTATTTTCAAATATTTCCTACCAGGTTTTGTCCTGTCACTTGTCTGGGAATGCAAACTTGGTATTTTATGGTCTTGATAACAGAAGCAAGTTGCTGAACATGTGGTTTAAAAAATGAAATCATGTATCACAGTCTGAAAATAATCATAGTGACCGTATAGCACAACTGATGGCTTGGTTAATGATGATGCCTGTTTTTTGTAGTGGATACATTCTGTATCGTCTGATGTTTATGCTTGTTGAAGATCCAGTTTTAAAACTGATTAAATGTGACATTAAGGTAAACATTTTCTTACAAAATATGCAAACAAATCTGTTATGAATCRTTCCAAAAGGGGAGGCTATTTACTTTTCAAATATCTTCATATCCCTATAGTTAACTTTGGCAAAGGCCATAATTTTATGGGATTGAATACTCAGTTTTTAATAGTATGCTCGAGTTTTACCTGTTAAATAGCCAGTCTGGTATCTGCTACYAAAGTCTTCTAATCTTTGAGAAATCCATCAGACATTGTGAAATGAAGTTACAGCAGACARGATGAAAACATGAAGAATTTTGTGGTGAATATTCTGTAACCCTAAAATAATCACACTTCTATTTAAACAATGGAAAATGGGTATTGTCACAGTAAAGTAAAAGTTAAATGTGAATTTTCTATTTTGTTTTTGTGTTTATCACAATTACCTGCTGTTTTGTTTAGAAATGTACTTTTTTTTTAACATGACATTTTGCTCAACATGTCAACTAATTTTGAACTGGGCTACACTGCCTTGTCACTGGATAATTGAAATGATTTTAGTGTTTTGTTTTTATCTAGGTTGTGTGAACTGCATAATATTAACCTTCCYTCTCCAAATTTTCTACTGTTAAGGAGCGAAATGCAGAAAATGCCATTGAAGCTCTTAAGGAATACGAGCCAGAGATGGGGAAAGTGTACCGCCAGGACAGGAAGAGTGTCCAGAGAATCAAAGCCAGAGACATTGTGCCGGGGGACATTGTAGAGGTGGCAGGTAAGATTAATTTTTTTAGCACTACAATTTTAATATTCCAAGTGTTTTGTGTTGCTTGAAAAAAATTGACGAGATGAGAAAAAATCTTTTGCAAAATTGATTTTGCAACGATTTGTTGTTAGATTATCTTTGCTGCTGATTGCAGGTGAATCACTTCAACAGTTCTGGTCATAAAGCTGTTATTTTTTTTATCTAGAAACTTTAAAATGAGGAAGTGACGTCTGTAATTTAACACAGTGACCTTTAGATATGTACAACGAAGACACGTTTTTATTAACCCTTTCAGAAATTTCAACAAATAAACATCTTATTCCTCATCTTGGATTTTTCCTCTTTCCCTTAACTGTACTTGAAAGATGGCCTTTTCTTCTTTGAGGTTGTTTATTTTTTTAACCAAGAGACTTTTTATCTTTTTAGTATTTCTTTTTCCATTTATAGTAATGTTTGTTTTTCCTCTAAAAACAAAGCAAACATGTTTTCTTTACTCCCAAGGGCTGATGAATGAATTTTGCTCACGAACAGTGTTTTTTTGTTTTGTAGTCAGTGACAGACTAGATGAACACATTTGGCATGTTTCCCTGTTTCTTCTACTTGATTACAGAAAGTGAAAGGCTGTACTCCGATTAAATTTGATTAATTAAACCGCACTAATCAATGTGTCCAAGCATAACAACCTTATAGTAAATAAATAATGTAATATTTTATATTTCACTTCAGCATAATTTAACACTTCACACATTGTACAGCATTGTAAACCCATGATGATGTTCTAATTATTTCCGAACTATCTTTATTGGTACCACCAGAAGGCATTTTTAAAGCACTGATGCTAACATTTGAGAATGCCTCTCAGCGACTGTCAATAAGCTTCCACTCACTGCTCAATTTGCAACTGTGTTTAGTGATGTCATGTATTACAATTTCCAGCTGCAATTTTTAGACAATGTTTACTACCAGATCATATTTGATTTATTTTGCAACAACATAGATGGGTGCAGAAATGCAAAATGGAAACAAAGCAGCAAAGAAAATGAGATATTTATGATCCATGTAGACCAAAAAACCTAAACTGTTTATCAAAGCTGAGAAAAGCTGTAAGAACGTTTGCAGGTTGAATCAACTCATAAATGAGTGAAGTTTTACTTTTTAAAAACATTTCACTGCATGTTTATAGTCGTAAATGTATTTAGACTGTGTTGATAATGGGTCAGTTGTAATTTAATGTGACAGAGGCTACAAAACTTGGGCTTTTACAGCCAAAGCTTTTCCTCTAAGGGTCACATCCCCAGATACTTCACAGCGTATTACTTTCCCACCATTGACTGTTTACTTCACATCCTTGAGGACATTTTTGTTTACACCAGCCTAAATCCAAGCAAGGCAATGAAAAGAAATTTTAATCCTAATCTTTATGTTCACTTTAAACAGACCTGGTTAGGTCACCACGTTTATGATACTTATTTTTATATGATTTGTCTCCTCTCTGAGAGACACAGACTTGATTTGCTGCACCTAACATTCTTGGAAACACTTGACATTTTCTCATTTTAATATCAAAGTAGAACCACAGTTTGTGATGCCTTGATTAATATGCCATACTGCCTAATGTTTCACTAGAACAGAAGCTAAATCATGCAAGCTGTTCTGCATTATTCAGTTAGTTATGCGATGTACCGTCTGCATTTAGAAGCAGTTTGCATGTGGTCTTATAGGACAGATGGTTGCTGAGTTCATGAAACAACAAAAAGGGATTTAATGCAAATTTCTCTATGGGTCACACAAGTAAATTTCCCAAATTAAATGTTTTACTATTATTGTTGGTTACATGACTTCATCTCATTACCCGCTGAAGGTAGTTTTCAGCATTTAAAATACCTCAAACTTCAACAGTTGTCAGCCTGTCTTAATAATGTTACTGTATCTAACAAATACCTTTTTTATTCTTATCATTATTAAACATTTAACATATGTAACTTAGATGATTGGTTTAATTTAGGAGATTAGATGATTAAAAACAACTTGAACATTTTTTAATATGTCCCTCTCCTCGTGACTCTGTTCCTCACCTTATCAGTTGTCTCTTGACATTTAAGCAGCTTTTACTCACTTGCACATTAAAATCATTGATTTCACTAGAATTGTTCAATGCCATTTCATCAACACAGCAAAGGCTCYTTTTTGTTTTAAGGCATACTGTAATTTCACTTTGCAGTTCTTTTTTTGACTAGAAACTGATGAATWTTATTTTTTATTAACATGTGGGCAACAATTCTTCACTTTTCTTGAGAAACCTGAATAAATATTGGTGAAAGGGCAGAGACAGGTTGTGACATGAAGCATCCTGATTGATTTTAGTGACTATGTTGTGTTCCAGATGGCCACGTGTACAGTTCTTTTGATTTTAAAGACAAAGAATGATTCATCAACCAGTAATTTTTCTCTACCAGTTTTCTATATCAGTCTGTCTTTTAGGTTATTGTTTTATTTAAAAAATATTGAAAGGTACATTGACATTTAGGCTTTTGAAAGTTTCTAAAGGGAAGTATGATGTCACAACAAGTCGCAGAGCATTGCAAGCCTACATGCTAGCACATGAGCTTTAGCCACTTGAACATCTTGTTTTATTGRACCCCCCATGTTGGGACAGTGGGATGGAATATGTTTCGTTGACTCCAGACTCTGGCATATTGACAGTCCCCTGTATCGCTCTAAATGCTACAAGAGAGCAGCTGCAGTTTTTACAAGCTATGGGATGTTGTTGGTTAAGTGTGTGCAGCCTGACATTTGTCCAATACTCAGGAGAGCAGATAWTACTGATAAAATCCTTTTGTGCACAAGGGAGAAGGAAAGGTTCCTGTCCCGCAAGTCATTCACTCCTTCCCATTAAAAACAACAGCTAAAAAAAGCATGTTCTCTAAGACTGGAGGCAAAATGTCTCTTATGTGGAGTTGAAATTTAGGTCACTGCAGAATGTTTCTGGGCATTATTGCAAAAAATCTTTCCGTTCCCTTGGTGCAAAATGTAATACTGAACTCCATCAGTAATTATAGATGTTAGGTAAGTTTTAGTTTCCAAAATGTGTTTGGTGCTTTACTGTCAGGAATAACAGTGATTATATCTGAAGATTAAGTTGYCAATGTATCCATATTGGCCAATAGCATGCGAGGGATTGAAACTGTTTAGGCTTTATTAATAGTTTTCAAACCTCTTCGTTGCTAGTGAAACTAGGTTAGTTCGTTCACTGTGACCTTATTCGCTGTACACTAATGGATGGAAAAAAGCCAGGTGTTCTTTTTTTTTAACTTTTTCTGATTTGTGGGGTATTTAATTAGTGAGTTTTTGTAGTAACCTTCCCACAGGGCTTAGTTTGAGTCTTTGTTTCCATTGGTCGCAGTTTCTTTGTGTTCTCCCTCATGGTCTGATTCTTCATCTCCCTTAACATGTTTGTTTTAAGTAGAAAGTCTGAAATCAGACCAGTGATAAAGTGGTTTTAACAGTGCGTAGGAAACCAGAGGACTAAATAAGGTATTGCAGCTGGTCCAGTCTGTGAGGCTTATTACTGAGTCAACATATAATGCATCCTTTAATAACATGTTGAAATAACATCTATTTTCTGATCAGAATGTGAGAGAATGTTGAGATTAGCTTACTTTACAAGTTACTTAGCTTACTTCCTGTATGATCACAGAAACCTGAGTCAGGAAATGGCACTTATACAGATTTGAGACARTGGTTAAAATGAATGAACTTTCTGTACTCTATTTGATGTCACAGTTTCTATTTCAGCTCATGACATTGACTGGGATCTCCTTGCTTAAAACAGATGTTTTCTGCGTCGCTCCCCTCTCCAAATCTAGCAGCTTGTTTCAAGCTCATCAAAATATTTTTCCCATTTTTGGGCGTGCAGTTTGAAGGACTCGTGTAAATCCCTTTCCCCTGTCGACCGTTCCTCATTTCCTATTTTATTCTCAAAAGGGCACAGGAGAGGCCTGAGGGTTGGTTTACATGTCTGTCGTCACTCTCCACTGTCCACTGAGCGATCTTTAAAAGAGCCTCTGGGTCACTGCTTTTATCTTCACCCTTTCAAGTTGTGTGATGTCTGACTGTAAGCTGAATGGAAAAACGTCTCTGATGCAACAGCAGTGGTTTCCATTCTACTTTCCTCTTTAAAATTATATAAACCTCATTATAAATACACGCCTCATGAAATCTTACTTGAAATGGTTTAAATCTAAGATGATAAAGGGAGTTTTTCTGCATCTTTTGCGGCTTTAACCTTTTCAAAGGAAAAAATATAATTTTTCATGTATATGACATGAGTGTGGAAATTCAAACATACTAAGAAGTTGTTTGCATGAAAGTTTAAGTTTAAATAGTTTCACAAATACAGATTAAATCATAAAGGTAAAATATGGACATTTTTATTTGACACCATGTTGTCAGTCTTAATAGAAATTAATGTGAGCCCCTTTTAACAGTACTTGTTGRAATTACATAAAGTACTTGTTTGAATTATGAGTATTTACTTTGGATGTTTATTTTACTGACTGCTAAAGCGTTTTGTTCCTAGAAGAATTGCCTGGAATTACTGTGTCCCTTAAAGGAGAGGAGTGGAACATTAATATTAAATACAAGACTCCCTTCTGGCATCTTTAAATAATAACTTAAGTTTGATTATTTTATTACTATGACAGGGCCTGTGTATAACACAACAGTTCTTTAAGTGATGTTTTTGTATGTGGTTAGTTGTTTGATCTTAATTAAATTAAAYCTTAATTTGGAAATTTATCCTTCCTTTATAAAGTAACAATAAAAGCCTGATTTCACAATTGATGCATTTGTGGTTCAGAATCATTACAAAGATCATGTGTTTGCTTTATATAACTCATGTATTGCTTCAGCTGTAGTCGGTGCTACTTATAGCTGCATTTAAACGGYTAAAATACTAAAATCCTCCTGATTATTTTCTGTCCACAGTTGGTGATAAAGTGCCTGCTGACATCAGGCTGACCTCTATAAAGTCGACCACACTGAGGGTGGATCAGTCAATACTTACAGGTAAGTTGCTTCTATAACTGCAAGAGCTCTCTTTCTCTTCTCAGTGTTATTTATTCCCTAAAATGCTATTTTTCTTAATATGTGTATTTCACAGTTAAAAATATGTATATATATATATATTTTTGCCTGCCTCGGGAATAAAAAAAAAGTACCTTGACAGGCAACAAAAATTTTAGTACCTTTATATACCTGACAATCTACAACCTTAAAACTGTGTAATGTAGATGGACTAGTCTAAAAACAAATGTGGATGATAAAGGATGTCTCTAATGTACAAAAGAAGAGGTTTTATATGTATCAAGTCCTTAAATCTCTCGTCTTGCTCTGCTGCCTTAATTGGTAGCAAATTCCATGGGATATTTTAGTGTTTGAGCTATTTTCCTCCTCTCTTGCCTTCCCCATTCATGGCCATACCGCCGGCCGAACGCTGCCTGCCTTGTTCTTTCCGAACTGTGCAGTCTTTTTCACAGCTGATTATGCCCAAAAGAACAGTGTTAGCAGACGTTAGATGAGGGTTTAGAAAAGCAAGAGTCTCTGATACTTGTCAGGTCTGCTCAGTCAGCTGCGAAGTCTTTTCCACACATCTGCCCAAAGTGTCAACCAGCCATCGCTATTACGTCTTCATGCTCTGCTGTGTAGAAACTGAACACTGATTCTTTAATCTCCGGTTTCCTCTTGTAGGAGAGTCTGTGTCTGTGATCAAACACACAGACCCGGTGCCAGACCCACGTGCTGTCAACCAGGACAAAAAGAACATGCTCTTTTCTGTGAGTGACTCACTAAATCATTTTTAGACTGCRGTTTTCACTTCACCCCTGCTTATATTTTTATTAGTATTTTGACTACCATTAACTACAAAATTGGTCTCTCTTTTGATTTTATATTTTATTTTCTGACCCAGCTAAAATTCTTGCTTTCTATTTTTTCATCATTTTGGAAAATATGAAATAATTTTTCTGCTCAAAAGGCATTTGAAATTAAAGAAAATTCACTGTGAATGCTGAGCGTTGAATGACTGCAGAAATATGTTGGGGGGTGGAGTTCAAATCAAAACCATAGCTAATTGCTGAAATCAGTTTAACTGTAGCTAAAAAGATTGGACAAACGTTAAATAAAAGCTAAAATTAGCCAAACTGTAAATAAAATTAGTAAGAAAATTAGTTAGCAAAGTAGCAGAAAGGAGCTGAAGAARGAATAGTCAGAGCAAGTATGTTGAATTAGATTTGAAACAATGACTTGTGCTGAATGTGAAGCCTCGTCTTTAGTAGTTTCTAAAACAGTTGCATCYTTTTCCAGTGTTGGTTTGTACATTAAACGGTCTGTTTTTCACTGCTCAAACATGTCAGGGTACAAACATTGCAGCCGGTAAGGCTGTCGGTGTGGTGGTGGCCACAGCTGGAAACACAGAAATCGGTAAAATCCGAGATGAGATGGCATCAACAGAGCAGGAGCGCACACCACTGCAGCAGAAGCTGGATGAGTTTGGAGAGCAGCTATCTAAGGTGAAACATATTTCTCTGGCAAACTTCTATTGGTTTGGATTTGATGTAAATTATTAATAATAATTTAATTGACTATGTAATTCAAGGTCATCTCACTGATCTGCATTGCTGTGTGGATCATCAATATTGGACATTTCAATGATCCTGTTCACGGAGGTTCCTGGATCCGAGGCGCCGTCTACTACTTTAAGATTGCTGTGGCCCTGGCAGTAGCTGCTATTCCTGAGGGTATGCTGAAAGGGTTACACAAATACAGCTGTGTTCTCAACAAACCACAATACGTGCTGTTTTTGTTACGTCTTACGTGTGGAAAAATAAATAAGTTCAAAGTGAAGGCTGCATTTTCTCCTTGAGTTTATCACCTCCCTTGAAATAATTCCTTGTGAATAAAAGAATCTGTTGCGATCTGTCATCAGGTCTCCCTGCTGTCATCACTACCTGCCTGGCGTTGGGGACACGCCGCATGGCCAAGAAGAATGCCATTGTCCGCAGTTTGCCCTCCGTGGAGACCCTGGGGTGTACATCTGTCATCTGCTCGGACAAAACTGGCACCCTGACCACCAATCAGATGTCTGTGTGCAGGGTGAGAGAACAAGAACTGACTTTTATTTTTTATTGAACAGAAATATGTAAATCCTGACCTAAGGATATGTCAGGATCATGTGTTACTATCTTCATGCCTATGGAAATCTTTGAGCTCAGTGGTGATGAGGTTTAAACGTGCACTGTGCAGATTGAGTGGACCAGAGGATGATGAGAAACTGGTGACCTATCAAAGTCTGAAGTTCTGTTATTTTCTATTCTTTCATATTCTCAAAGTGTCCTTCAGCCTCCATTTCTCAACTCAAACAGAATACTGATCAGTATGCAGTAGTTAGTCAGCAGCAAACCAGTTGAGTTGCATAACTGACCTTGTGTCTTTCTCTGCCTTCTCTCCATCTACTGTACATCTCTTGCTCATCTCACAGTTTTGTGCAAGTCAAACCTATGCTGACGCACACAGCATCCAAATAGGGCAGAGCATAAATTAGCACTGAATGTTGAACTAAAACTGAATGTTGCTCTTCAGTGCAGTTGTTTTACTATTCAGTTTTGTGTTCTAGGATGGATGAACACTTAAAGCCCCTGCTTTGTGTAGTTTTCTCTTTGTGTTGTGTAGATTTGTCACTGTGAGAAGTAATGTGCTCAGACATCCTATTCAAATATTTGTTTTTATCCTTCCTCATTTTCTGTTTTTGCATTGGACTTAAGAAGTTGAATGAATTAACCGGTATTCAAATGTTAAAATCACCATCAGCTTTTTTTAAATAGATATATTTATCAAACAAGTATACTTACTGTAAACATTTGCACATTCGGTGGAAGAAAGCTAGAGTAACTTTTAGATATTCAAACATACAAATTTAATACTATTAAGAAACCAAACTACGAACTAAACTAAATTGTGCAGCACAATGTTACTCAAAGCTTTTAATTGAATGTATCCACCTCAATTTTCTGTTCTGTAGTCATGTAGACTGTTTACATGTGCTCAGTGTGTTTTGGTTCAGAATTTCACCTTTCTGCCCTGTTCAATTTTAAATCAGGCTTATTATTATTTTAGTATAGCGTAAGTGGGAGTCATATTGTTTTCTTACTTTTTATTTTTTAGTATTATTTTTTTTTCTCCAGAGATTTTTGGTCAACCGTAGCACAAAAAAGGCTGCACCGATCAACATGAAATTTGGCAGGACTGTAGATG